CATTTGTATGCAAAGTTCTCCCCGATGGTGTTGTAAGTATTGTTCCGTTTTGAATACCAGTCCTTGGTAATAGATTGACCTTACTTTCCTTAGTTGTTCCATTTCTTTTGAAACTTTTTCCCTTTAGTACTTACTTTTTCCTCTTTCTCTACCTCCCTTCCATCTGTCCGTTCTTTTAAGTTGCTATTATATTTTATGTGTGTTTGTTTTTCGATAGGATCTGTTGGCATCATGGCTGGATCAAAGATCAAGGAAAATGGAGCTTTCAGAAAAAGTAAATTCCATCCCCAAAACGTGATGCTACAGTCATTCTACAACTACTATTACCTTTTGCAGATAAGCCTTTCAATTTTCTCTTTTCGTTTCCTACTGAAAGAGTGATGGAAGGCCTCTTTTCTCGCTTAGTTGAAACTGAAAGCCTGTCAATTTAGGGAGATCATAAACTAGCTCAAAACCATGTCATAACATCTTCATAGCATCAACAACAAGATGCATACCATTTCCTATTTTTCTTTATGTAGAAAGGTTGGCCAGCTAACGCTCTTGAGTTGGTCAGAGTCCTTCCAGCTGCAACTTATGATTCGTCAGCCAAAAAAGATTCTAATACAACTTCAAGTAAAGAGGTAAAGTTTTTTTAAGCAAGACAGTTTCCATTTTAGTGGAAATTTCCTATGAAAACCTGGACTGTATAGTCAGAGTTCAGACCAGGTCAGAAGATAAGGTCAGATCAGACGAGAAATATTTTATCGCCAGATTAACACTATCAAATATCGTCTAGGTATTGAACATAGCTCGATCAATAAACAAATTTTTGTGTGGCCAAACCCTAAGTCGCGCCATTCAAAAACATCATTGAATGCTAGAAAGATAGTGACCAACTGTATTGCTTTTGTTCATAGAGTGGACTGGCACGTCTTGCTGAACTAGTTCATGGTCTGAGTGAGCTGCAAGAACTGCATGAAAAGTACAGTTGTCGCATTGGTCTTGCTGAATACACTGAGGTGAGTTCAGTTGATCTTGAATCAAGTTTTCAGTAACATTCCTAAGGTATTTAAGTGGATTTCCTAGGAATGTGCAAAGGTAGTGACGCCAACACGTTACTGTACGGACTCGGCACGAAAGTATATTCAGGAATTCCAAATAGATGCAATTACCTACATACAATCGTAGCTCACAAGAGGCTGATATTTCTATAAAAAGTGGAACTAGTTTCCCTCGAAAGTTTTGCAAAATTTGGGCTGCCCGGCAATTAGTTTATTTAAGACCGTGCCAGGCTGCCGTGCATATAGACACTGTGCAGTACAACATATGGTTAACAATAGTGAATATTATATTCAGCTTTTGTGTAACCCAAGAAGAACATTGAAAAGCTTAAAGAGAGGAGGGACTCCAGTTTGTTTGTTTGTTTTGTTTGTTTGTTTGTTTTTTGCTTTTCTAGTGCTTTCTTCTCTGTGTAAAATAAAATTGAACATTAAAAATACTTGTCATGATAGGAGACAACAAAGACTATCGTGTTTCGACTTCTTGATGGTGTCAAAGCTGCTGAGCTTCTCCCTCAAGCCATGAAGAAGTACATTGCACC